ATTGCTCCGAACATAAACCGCCATATTGACAAGGTGACAGGACAACGACGCCATAGATCTCACCGACAACGACATCGCACAGCTCGGCAACTTCCCGCTCCAACCCCGTCTCCGAACGCTCTTCCTCGCGCAAAACCGCATCTCCAACATCCAACCCAACCTCTCGTCGAGCATACCAAACCTGCGCACACTGGTCCTTACCAAGAACAGGATCGCAGAGCTGGCCGACTTGGATCCGCTGGCGGGTTTTAAGCAACTGGTATACCTATCATTGATGGGAAATCCCGTCACAAGCAAAGAGGTATGTGCCTGACCTCGTTGAGCCATGAACCTTTGAGCCTAATGGTGCAAGCAAACTTGAGCCTGGGGATCGGAAACGGTGCAGGGTGAGCCACTCGTTGCGATTTGGCCGGCTCAGGATCGCATGATGGAGGCTATTATGCGCAGCATGCTAACATCACATAGAACTACCGGTATTGGGTCATCTGGCGCTGTCCGACTGTGCGCTTCCTAGACTTCAGCAAGGTGCGGGATATTGAGCGAAAGAAGGCCAAGGAACTGTTCGGAACTGTCGACGAGCCTACAGAACTTGCAAACCAGGTTCGTACCACGACTGTCTTCAAGTTTCATCTGACTAACTCTCCCAGATCTCGAGCAACAAGTCCAAGGGCTTCGTCGTCCCCTCGTACGCGAACGGTGCCGACTCGGGCAAAGAGCGCATCTACACCGACGAAGAGAAGAAGCGCATGCGCGCTGCCATCCTCAACGCAAGCAGCTTGGCCGAGATGGCGAGGCTGGAGAAGGACTTTGCGGAAGGTCGGATACCAGCACATATCCTCGAAGGAGGAGACCCCATGGAGACATAGCCGCTGTATTGTCCGGAGATCTTGACGAGGGTCAAAACGCACGCACGATGGTGGTATCACACGTCACGACTGTGCACAGCTTTGCGCGTGCACGAGCAAGACGGGGCACGCAAGCACAGTATCGCACGGGAGGATTCTGCACGCACTGCATGAGGCTTCGAAGGAATACGGCAGCGTGCAATAGTTATAGGGAAGGCCTGGTGATACCACAACAGTATTCAGAGCACGGCACTGAAGCGCTTGAGTCGGAAGTAGATTGATCTGTAAGAATTGAAACAGACTGCTTTGCGCCAGAAGGCGTTTCCCACCCATGGTATCGTAGTAATATACTCAGAACGCCGTGATGCCGTGAACCATCGTATCTCGAGCCTACATGATCCTGCCGTCCAGACGAGACATGTCCTGATGGCGGCCTTGTTACCACCCCCTTCCCCTGCCACCGCGTCCTCCTCTGCCACCACCGCCTTGATGACCCTGCTGGAAACCTCCGCCTTGCTGACCTCCAGGTCCGCCGGGGAAGCCACCCATGCCCTGGCCTGCCATCTGCATAAAGGACGCAAAGTCCATCTGACTGGGATCCATGCCTTGCTGCATCATCTCTTGCATCATCATCTGCATTTGCTGTTCGTTCATGCCTCCAGGTCCCATAGCACCACTGCCGCCGCCACCGCCACCTCCTCCTCCCGGGCCTGTCGGCGGCGCACCACCCGGCCCCCCATTGCCCTGTGGACCAGCGCCCATGCCAGGCATTCCGGGCATACCAGGCATCGGCGCACCGCCCATCATAGCCTGCATTTGTGCCATGTCGTTCTTCTGGCCCTGCAGCGTGTTGGCCATACTGACTTGTCTTTGGCGATACAACTCCCACGTGAACTCGTCGAAGCCGTAGTTGAAGTAGTCCGACTGGTCTTCACCAGGTCGACGCCAGATCTTTTGCTCTTCCGCTAGGTCGGCATCGATGTCTACGCTGAGAATCTCTTTGCCTTGTGGAGGGTAGACGGGGTTCCCGTTGACATCGATAGTCGAGGTGCGTTGCGCGGGGAAGGCGGTGCCCGAGAGGGCTGAGGCGGACAGTTGAGGGACAGTGCCGCCGGTTGTGGGGACGGTCTTGGGAGGTACTTGTTGCGAGGGCGTGGTTGAAGAAGTGGGCGGTGCTTCGATCTTTATGGCTTTTGATTCTTGGGGTGCTTGCGCGCTGGACGGACATGTCAGTAGCTGTAGTGATGGCAGGAACTTGGAGTTTGGAGCTCCATAGAAGCTTACGCTGTGGGTTTGGCGGGTGCTGGTGCCTTCTCGATGATGATGTCGATGTCCTACAGCTTCGTTAGAACTGGCGCAAGCTCTTTGTGGGGTTCTTGTGCGGCATACCGAGTCGCTGTCTTCTTCATCGCCTGACTCTTCGTCCATTGGCTCATCACCGCTGGAGTTGTCTTCCTCCTTCTTTGCCTCGTTGGTCTGCTGCGCGGCTGTCTCGTCGCCATAGAGATCGTCGTCGGATTCGTCTGCCATGGTGTCGTTCTTTTCGTTCCACCAGCTACAAGGCGCGCCCGCAAAGAGTGAGCCCTCCCAAGGGATTACTGTGTATCCGACTATTTCTAGTGCACGCACAATTGCTCGAGCTTGCACAAGCTTCCGTTTTGTATTTCTGCGGGTTTTTGGGTTTCCACGAAATTCGCGTGTGGGATCCGGGTGCTATACGGCTTCTGCAGTGACTTGGCCGTTGGTAGTGAACGTGAGCTTCTTTGAGTTGCTGGATGAGGGAATGATTAGCCGAGTAGAGTGCACGCGTTTTGGCCTGTGCTGTTGCTGGCGCGCCGCCAAACAGACGCAGGCATTGTCCTTCACATACCGACCCATCTTCTGCACTGTCAACCACGCGCATTTCCACGCGTCGTGTTCTTCAACGCTCGCTATAACCTCCTCGAGTTTCTCAGCTCGAGAGAGTGGAGCCACGCCGCGACCTTGCACCTGCGCATCCATCGTGAACGATCGCAAACAGACGACGAGATAGACGCAGAATAACGAAGGAGACTGGAACAGAATGGCGGGCTTTGGGCGATCAAACTCGCTGAGTATCAATACTGGCGGTGGTGGTGGTCTCTTGTACGTCTTCCCACATTCTGTACCAAGCGCTCTCTTGGGTAGCAGCCTCTGCTACTACCATTCCGAGCGCATGCGATGCAGCCTACATGGCAAGTACGATTTGTCGAAGCATTAGACTGACGGTATCAGTGGAAATAATGCGAACCAAGGCCAGCAGGCCAGCCAGCCCCAGAGCAGCGGCGGGCTCTTTGGGTCTGCCCAGCAACCGCAACAAGCACAGTCGGGTTCGCTCTTCGGCGGCCAAGCTCAGCCTCAGACTTCGCAGCCTGCAAGTGGAGGCCTGTTTGGCAACCTGAACAAGCCTGCGACAACGGCGCCTGCGAGCGGAGGGCTCTTCGGCTCATCCACCGCGCAATCAACACAACCTCAGAGCGGAGGCCTCTTCGGCGGCGCATTAGGCGGAACCTCACAGAGCCAGCCCCAAAGCACACCCCAATCCGGTGGCCTCTTCGGCGGCGCTCAGTCGAAGCCATCACTGTTGTAAGTGACCATGGCTGCTCGCGGTGACACAAGCTAACTGAAAGTCCTAGCGCCTCGTCCACACAGCAGACAACAACACCCTCCTTGTTCGGGAACAACACCTCCACCCAGCAAAATCAAACGTCGGCCCCTTCGCTCTTCGGTTCAACCCAACAGCAAGCTCAGCCCCAGCAGCAGAATACTTTGTTCGGTGGCAGCATGAACACGCAGAACAGGTCGAATACGCTTGGTGGCTCTACTCTGGGGGGAAATCAGATGAGCTCAAGCGCGCAGCCCGTTCAGATGACCCTCGACTCGATACGAGGAACCACGCGTTTCAACGACCTGCACCCCGAACTGCAAAACATCATCCAGCAGTTCGATGAGGGTATCCAGCGCAAGGTCAACTTCTGCAGCCAGATTCGCGAGGCACTCCCCGGCAGTGAGAAGGAGATCGACACTATTGCGCCTGACGTAGCCTACATCGAGACGTTCCTTTCCACCGTTGAAGTCGGCCTCGACAACGATTCCGCCAACATTGCGCACCTTAAAAGTCTCGTCAAGAAGGATGCCGACGACGCGACCCTCAGCTTCCGTGCTATTGAGAATCAGCGACTACCGGCGCAGTTCCACTACCGCAACAACGCCAACCTCACAGCGTCAAGCGCAAAGACTCCTGCGACCAGTGCTCTGGACGATGACGATCCCACCAAGCCTGTCGACCTCATGGGTTACTTCAACCGCCGCACCGATGAGCTCGGCCGTACTCTAGACGTTTACCAGCGCCAGATTCGCGAGATCGAGACTCACCTGCGAACGATGGAGGCCGGCACCGTGGAGAAGGCTCAGCAACTGACTGGCAGTCGAAGCGCACCACGCGACCAGCGTCGTGAGTTGGTGGAAGCGCTCAAGGCCATTGAAGGCGCCATTCTCGACTCGGCGAAGAAGGTTGGACAGGTCAGGGACGATGTGACGAAGCAAACATTGGGAAACGTCGGTGCCGCCCTGCTGTAAAGCGCATCATGAAACAATGATTTGTACTTGGAGTTTGTAGCATTGAGAATTTTGGGAAGGTCACTTCGTTTACAACGGCTCAGGCGCAACGATTTCCTGAACGGCATCCTACACATGTACATATTTGGACGGAATTGCAAAAGCACTTGATACCCCCAAATTCCGGGTCTTCCTCCCCATGTGATTGTTTATTCCATATCCCGAGCCTTTCAAAATGTCTTGGTGACCATGTACTCTGATTGCTCATGTTGTAGTAAGGCGGAATTTCATCGCGAAGCGCTTTATCACGCCAAACGTTAGTCAAGCTTTCCAATGCTGAGTAAAGTCCACTCTTGGAACACGCGCCCCACCAAATTGGAACCAGAGGAAGCTATGACGTCTCCACCATCGTCCAGCTGCTTGCTTTCAATGACAGCTATATAGCCGTAACGCATCTCTTTAAACTCAATTTACAGTTCTATGTTCTCACGCGCTTTGCGACTCAGGACAATTACAAAGTGTTCTCCAATCTCAATAAGATATACACGGTCATTCTGCACTACTCCAAGTCGCGCAGCCATGGACAAAGCGCCCCAACAAGACAGCAAGGATGGGAAGGGATCGATCCTTGACTGGGTAAGTGATCTTGAAGTTGTTAGCCAGCTTTGCAGACAGGTCCAGTGGATATTGGGTTTTGCACCAGCATACTGACTACAGAATAAGGTCAAACCCGGTGACAAGAGCGGCGAGTTCAAGCGCCAAACATCCGTCTTCAGAAACTGGATCCAGAACAAGCCCGATGCCGAATTCCCACCTGAGAAAGGTCGCTACCATCTCTATGTCTCCTACGCCTGTCCCTGGGCCCACCGCACACTCATCGTGCGCCACCTCAAGGGCCTCGAGGACATCATCTCCTACAACAGCGTCCACTGGCACATGGCAGAGAAGGGCTGGCGGTTCGCAGCTTCCGATGAGAAAGTCTCTGGTCACACCACACCGGATCCGCTTCACGAAGGATACACGCATCTCCGTGACATCTACTTTGAACAGAACCCAGACTACGAAGGACGCTTCACGGTGCCGACGCTGTACGACAAGAAGACCAATAAGATTGTCAGCAATGAGAGTGCGGAGATCATAAGGATGCTGTACACCGAATTCGACGATCTCGTCGAGGAGAAGTACAGGAAGGTGGATCTATTCCCCAAGGACTTCCAGAAGGACATCGAGGCCATGAACGATTGGGTGTACAACGATGTGAACAACGGGGTTTACAAGTCAGGTTTCGCTACGTAGGTTACACTAAATAACTCACATGATGCTGAGTAGGATGTACTAATGAGACGGCAGCACTGAGGAGGCATACACAAAGGCCGTGACACAGCTTTTCAAGTCTCTCGATCGTTTGGAAGAGTCCATGGCCCAGTCTTCTACACCATACCTACTGTCGAGCCCGCACGTAACGGAAGCCGATGTTCGGCTTTTCACCACGATCATCCGCTTCGATCCTGTGTACGTCCAGCACTTCAAGTGCAATATTCGCGATATCAGATCGGGATATCCACACCTTCACAAGTGGATGCGCCATCTGTACTGGGTACGCGATCTCCTTTTTCAATGATCATTATGGAACACTCTTGCTAACACGAATGGAACAGGACTACCCCGCTTTCAAAGAAACTACCGACTTTGAGCACATCAAGAAGCATTACACAAAGAGCCATGGCCAAATCAACAAGTTCCAGATTACGCCCATCGGGCCTTTGCCGGATATCTTTGAGAAGGACGACGAAGTGCCCAGTGTCAAGGCCGCGAAGAAGTAGTTTACGTAGTTGACATGTAATGATATTCTTCCTCTGAAGATCATGTATCTACTGTTTCAGAGCTAGTACCATGCTCGCCGCAGCCAGAGCGCCCATCAGGCCTACAGCCAGTATAACAGCAGCGAATGGCATGAGCGGCGGACGCATGCTCTTCGACTTCATATTTTTGATTTCCGTTTCAAGTCGTTCAGCCAACTTCTCCTTCGAGAACTCGGCGATGACTCTTTCCCTACCCCACTTGCCCATCTCTCTGAGCCGTTCTTCGCCCTCGCCATCTTCAAGCGCAATGCGCATAACTTCGGTCCAGTCTTGCACTTTGGTGACGTCTCGCAGCCAACCCGTCTGCCCGCTGATGACGGTCTCGGTAGGCCCGCCCTCGTTGGCAGCCAGGACCGGTGTGCCTACTAACATTGCTTCCAGTGGTACAATGCCGAAGTGCTCATGTAGTGGAGTGTATACGAGGAGGCGCGAGGTAGACAGCAGCGTGGCCTTGAAGGCATTCGGGACGGAATGGAGGAAGAGGACCGAGATGTCGTCAGGGATGGCCTGGGCGGTGATGACAGTCTTCGCAGTCGCGTGCTTCAGCTTGAGTGAGTCTGCGAGTTCACATAGCTCGGTGTACGTTGAGACGTTCTCGGCCACCCTGGGGTCATATCCACCTGCAATTACAAGCCGCGCATCCTCGCGTTCTTTGGACGACAACCCCGCAAAGGCTCTGATGGCAAGCGCCACATCCTTCTTCTTCTCGAAGCGGTTGATGCTGAGGAGCACCTTCTTGTTCTTCCATAGCGGGGTAACCTCCTCATCCGACCCGCCTGCGGTGATGTCTACACAGGGATATACGACGCCAGGCTCGCGATGTCTTAGGGTGGGGAAAGCCTCGCTGAAGATGCTCTTGGTGAAGTTGCTGTTAACGACAATGGTGTCGCTGCACCTTGTGCTCCAGCTCTCCAGCCAGTTGAAGGGTCCGCGGTACAATGTCTTGAGTATACCACCCTTCTTCGCAAGTAATTTGTCAGGGAAGTGGCAGTAGAAGATGACGCGCGGGCGTGGCTGTAGCAGTCGCAGGAGCGGGATGCCGGCGCTGAGCTGGTCGACGAAGAACGAGGAAGGCGCGAGCTTGGGGAGCTCTTCGGTAAACAGGGCGATCTGGAGGATCAAGTGCACCTGGCGCAGGATGGCGCAGAGGATGGCGAAGCGGCCGAGGAAGGCGGCGGGGACGAGCGAGTTGCCGCGCACGCGCACGTCGAGGGTTCCTTTGGATCGCGTCAAGCGGTGCGTGGTTCCGAGGTGCTGAGTAGAGGCTTACCATCGCGCGCCTCATCGAAGCAGTGGGCCGGGTCGCAGTGCGATGTGAAGATGGTCACTTTGTGCCCGCGGTTCTGCAGCCCAACCGCGGCATCGATAACCAAGCGCTCCGCCCCACCGATGCCCAGGTCGGGGTGGAAAAAGACGACGTGCTCTTTCGTGTCCGCCATGGTGTCGACTGGTGTTCGCAGAGGGACGACAATTACGTGTTGCCAGGCGCGCCATGGGGTGGGCTGCGGGACACCTTTCCGCTTCGGAGTTAGTGCCGAGGGCGAGCGCGACAGGTGAAAGATGACCTGGGATGCTGCACCTGACGCGCCCGACGTACATCTCGACAATACCCAGGTGCGGGTTTGGTTTCGTCTGACACGACACCATATAGCAGTGAATACAGCTCCAACAGCTGCGGCGCGACATCTGCATCGCCCCTTCCAACATGTTCGTCGCGGCGCCTTGATAGCTCCACACCCTGGCACCACAACCACGCTCGCACATCAACCATCATCATGGGTCAGGGCTTCTCCCTCACTACGCTTTCGGCTGGCTCGGCCAACATCGACGTGCCCGAGCTGGCTGATCTGCAATATGAAAAGTCACTCGGTGCGGCGCGCTTTATGAAAGCCGTGCGCGCCCGCCACAAGGACGGTCTTGTTGTAGCCCGAGTGGTGATGAAGCCTTACGCTCAGTTCGACTTCCAGGAACATGTCAAAAGGCTACTCCGTGAGTTTAACAAAGTCAACATCCTCCATATGTATGAACGACTGACTGTTCCAAGACGAACGCAAAGTGCTCGCTGATGTGCCCAACGCCGTTGCATACCACCGCGTTATCGAGACCGCAGCTTGCGGTTATCTCGTGCGCCAGTATATTCACAGTTCTTTGTACGATCGTTTGAGGTATAATTTGACACTTCACCAACTACACCAATACACTAACGTCTTACAGCACACGTCCATTCTTGGAAGAGATTGAGAAGAAATGGCTATCTTTTCAGCTCCTTTGCGCCGTACGAGACTGCCACGCGCGAAACATTTATCATGGCGATATCAAGACCGAGAACGTTCTCGTCACGTCTTGGAACTGGCTGTATCTTGCAGACTTCTCATCATCATACAAGCCAGCACATCTACCCGAAGACAACCCTGCCGACTTTTCCTTCTATTTCGACCTTTCCGGTCGTCGCACTTGCTACCTCGCACCAGAGAGATTCCTAGCTGCTGGACAGCAACCCGAAGGCGAGGGTGATGTCAACTGGGCCATGGATATCTTCAGTGTCGGCTGCGTCATCGCTGAATTATTTCTGGAAGCCCCCATTTTCTCTCTCAGTCAGCTGTTCAAATACCGACAAGGCGAATACAATCCCGAGCATTCTCATCTCAGCAAGATCCAGGATAGCAGCATACGCGAGTTGATACTACACATGATACAAGTGGATCCTAATTCTCGGATGACTGCCGAAGATTACTTGACACATTGGAAAGGCAAAGTTTTCCCAACTTACTTTTACGGCTTTCTGCAACAGTACATGTACTCCATTACCGACCCATCGTCAGGGCGCAAGCCAGTAACCACCGGATCTGAACACCTTGGCGAGCCAGATGAGCGCATAGACCAGATATACAGCGACTACGACAAGATTTCTCACTTGCTGTCCAACGAAGAAGGGAAGGAACTCACCAAACCTGAATTCACCCCTCCAAAACCGCATGCCAAGCTCTTTCCGCTCTTCGTCAACATACCAAATTATCAACACCAAGCCTCTCCAGCGCGGAGCCTGGCCATCGATGACGGCAACTTGGTCTTTCTAACCATTGTCGTATCCTGTCTGCGAGGAACAGCTAGATCTTCCGCTCGCGTTCGAGGCTTGGAGTTACTCCTGGCATTCTCCGAACGGTTAACGGATGAAGCAAAGCTAGACCGTGTGATACCCTACGTGGCTCAATTGCTAGTCGACAAGTCTGAACAGGTCAAGATTGCTGCGCTGCGCACTTTGACACAGATCCTCGCCATGGTGCAGGTTGTCTCTCCAATCAATGCCTACATCTTCCCGGAGTATGTTTTGCCGCGTCTGGAGGCATATCTCCCTGACTCTTCGACAAACGTTGGTCCCCTTGTTCGAATGCAGTATGCGTTTTGTATCGGTACTCTGGCAACTACTGCAGCTAGGTATCTGGACATGATCCAAGCTCTACGCGCAGAAGGGTCGTTGCCCAATGCGGATCCTGAGACCGAAGATGACATGTCTTCATCCGCCCACCGGAACCAGTTCGATTCGGATCGTCGCATCCTCGTAGAGGCCTTTGAGAAACACACGAAAGCCCTCCTTACCGATAGCGATGCCTCTGTCCGTCGAGCGATGCTACGTTCTGTCTCTGATTTGTGTGTCTTTTTTGGAAGCCCGCGGGCCAACGATGTCGTTCTTAGTCATCTTAATACGTACCTGAACGATCCAGATTGGATGCTCAAGTGTGCCTTCTTTGAAGGCATTGTCGGTGTTGCCGTCTTCGTTGGCGGTGCTAGCTTGGAAGGTTACATTTTACCGCTCATGGTTCAGGCACTAACAGATCCAGAAGAGTTTGTTGTCGAAAAGACCATTAGAGCGCTTTCCTCCATGGCAGAGCTTGGTCTGTTTCAGCGATCTAAGACATGGGAACTCGTGGATATACTTGCACGCCTCACAATGCATCCTAACTTATGGATTCGCGAGGCAGCTGCACAATTCATCTCAGCTGCTTCTAAGTACCTTTCGGTCGCCGACACGCACAGCATTCTGGTCAACCTTATCCGACCCTACCTTAAAGTCATCCCCTCTGAGTTCTCTGAAGTACGGATTTTGGAATCGTTAAAGCCACCGATGTCACGGTTGCTGTTAGATATGACCTCAAACTGGGCGCTGCAGGCCCAGAAGGGTCAATTCTGGGTTGCAGCTAGGCAGCAGCAAACCTTCACCTTTGGGTCATCAGAAGATAGTCTACCCACAATCTCTGGGCGCGAACTGGACCAGAAGATACTACAGCGGCTACCAAAGAACGAAGAGGACGACCTGTGGCTACGAAAACTCCGCAACGCCGGTATGACAGCAGAAGACGATTTCAAGCTTGTTGCTCTGCGGGAGTTCATTTGGAGAGTGAGCAATCGCCGACGCTCGGATGGTCTCGCCGCTCCGACCACAAAGTTCAACAGCGTTGTCGTACTGAATGACCTTGGTATCAAGGCTCAGACGGTGCTCTTTGATGAAGACGTCCGTCAGGTCATGGAACAGACTAGGAAACCCAGCGCTCCAGAGGAGCTCATTCAACCTCGAACGATCAAGGATGCTCTGCTGGATGCATCAACTACGGAGGCTAATGGGCTAGCCGAGCATTTTGAAAGTCAAGCTGGGCGACTGATACGCGAAGAGAGGGGTATCACGATCCCATTGCGATCGAAGATGTCTTCTTCTAATGAGGTGCACTTCGGTATAGGCTCACCGCCTTCTGAGGCAGATATGCGGAGAAGGTCATTGCAGATCACGCGGCCATCTCTTTCCCCATCCAATTCCGTCGGCTCAACAGATTTGTCCAGCAGTCTTCGCCATCGTAGTAGTGCTTTGGGACTGCTCGGCAAAGGAGAAAACAAAGCCTTAGCTGAAATCGGCACCACATCTGCCAACGCGTTCGGGAAGGTCGACGGTACTCATGTTCGAGACTCCT